ATTACAGATGTGGAAATCTGAAAAAGAAAACAGGACAAGTTCAACATCTGTGGACAGTTAAGACTTCACATGAAGTCCATTAATCAGAACTGGTCAATCGAACTGAAATGTTTCACTCCATACATGGCGTATAACCTGCTGAGTTGTCCCTCCATTATTTTGTATTTCTTAGTGTTTTTCTATTACTTGAAAATCTATCTAGTGAGCAGTTTCTTCCTGATACCAAAAAAATTGAATGCAGGATTATGGCTCAGTCAGGTCTCCACAGGAATTAGAGACTAACATTAATCCCCGGTAAAGGTCAGGATCAAGCTTTGCATATTCATAAAAATTGTAGGCAAAACCAAAAAATCCTTCCCTGCAGACATACAAACAAAAAAAAAATGAAACCAATGGCCACACGATTGTGATAACAGTATGGAGCTGGAGGAACACAGCAGGTCAGGCAGCATCAGAGGAGCAGGAAAGCTGACATTTCGGGTCAGGACCCTTCATGGTTGTGCTTTAATGGACTGGCACATCTTTCCAATTTTACGTTGAATATCCTCACACACAGAAGGCAACCTAATAATTTTTAAATACAAACACAACCTTTATTATGTCTTAATATAATTTCAGATTATGTGGTTCACCTGAAAATTTTTCTGCAGTGGGGCTTCCTATTTGTCAAACAAGATGTAAAATTGTATGATGCATTTATTGTGAAGTCAATTAGCTGCAAATATATTTCAATGTAATCGCTTCACTAATTTGTTAGAAACAGTAGAAATTACAAACTATCCATAATATTCTATTATGTAGAAAATGTGAACAATATGTATTGCTTTTGGTTTGACAGAAAAACTGAAAAAGTCACAAAAAAAATGACAGACAGGAAGAAAGAAGAGAATTCAGCAGTGTCTCTTCAGGGAAGGATTATGTAAAAATACAAATTCCAGTTTTTTGTTTTTATTTTGGCAATTTTGATTTTTGTAGATTTTCATGCAACTCAAAAGTGCTATTGCTTTGTCCTGATATGGAGTGTGTTTGGGGTGCAGGATGACTTGCAGAGTGTAGATCTTCATAAAAATCACAAATTAGCACTAATTGTCATATGGTGATGTGGAAGTTTTTCAAGTTCAAATAAAAACACAGCATTGTCACAGATGCATGGCTTTATTTCCTGTACAAATATACAACTGTCACTTGCTTCTCTCCTCCAACACAAAGCAACATGTAGTGAGTAAAAAAAGCATCACAGTTGATCAGTTTTAATTCACATTAGATCAAGGGAACATCCTCATGCAGCATCACATGCATTCGCTTAAGTTTATAAGAGATATTTTAAAGAAGTTTCAAAGTTGTTAGCTACTCAAAGGTTGCAAGTAACCTTCAGTAAGAATGACACATTGGTTAGTTTGTTTTTACTCACACCAGACTAGGAGAAGGTAAAGTATAAAAAAAAGCTGGAGTTTTTCACAACAGTACAATGTTACAATAATGGTATAAACAAATAATGCATTATATTGTGGCACACCATGATACTAATTGTACTTGTGCAAAATAAAGGCAGGTATTTTCAAAAAACTGAAATAAATCTTTCTGGCTCATTACAAGGGCCACTCATGATTGTCACTTTGGTCAATATTTATACAATGTCATGAAAACAATATAATCAGTATCTGCAGAAGGAAAACAAAACAGAATAAGTATGGAAGTAAATCTGTTTCTCTAGCTTTCTAAACAATATTGGGGGGGGGGGGGGGGGGGAAGAGGAGGGGGAGGGGAGAAAACCAGAACACAAATAAAAAGAGTTCTTATGCAAAAATACATTAACCCAAATGCAACAGTTTCCTGTTTTCCTTAAAAGACTATTTGTTTGAATCACTTGGTCCTGCCCAAAAAATGATCACAGCAGAAATATGATACAAAATTAGTTTGCACTTTTATTTCCAGTTGAGGAAGGGGAGGATTGTCCATACACCTGCTGCTTGCAATGCAAGTCTAGGAACACTGAAAATAATCAGATTTAAAATTGTACTACATTGTTGGAAACACTTCATGAAGAAAACTGTAAGAAACAAGAAAATAAACTTAGTTGGCCCTTTTCCATTACATCTTTAAATAGTGCTTACACCAGACAGAAGCTTGAAGCAAGTTTCCAGCATATTTTACAGTTAGGGATAAGTGTTTATGCAGTCCTAAAAGGGAAAGCTGTATTTAGCACAATTAAACTGGCAAATCAAGGATTTACAGTTTATTCTAAGCCCTCCGGTAAAGAACAGGGTCCCAGAAAAGCTGATACCATTCCCTTTGTCAGTCTACAAAGGAATCTAGTTTTAGTCCAGTGGACCTAATGAAATGGGTTTGTTTTTGTTTAAAAAGAAGTACCCTGAAAAACTGACATTGTAATTTAGCAGAAAACCACATACCATAATTCTCGTTAAAACCTAGATTTTTGATCTGGACTACTCTACCTAAAACAAGTCTGCCTGTATGTCAAAGACAACTGTAGTTATTAGTTATTATTTACTGCAAGTCACAAAGTCTTTGAGACAAGAACATGGCACAGTATTTGCAGTCGGTGTTTATGTTGTAGACAAAGATAGTTCGATCACAGATCACTCATTAAAGCAACATAAATATACATTACATTTTTAAAAGAGCTAACAATCTCAAATTTTAATATTAGAGGTAACATTTCAAACTGTTTTCTTTAGCTAGATGGGCCCACTATAAACTTTACATCTCACTGTGTGAATTTTGATTAAAATGTTCTGAAGTCTGTTCAAAGTCACTCAGAGTGGGATCTGAGACAGACATTAAGAACATGAAAAATTGTGGAATATTACTACTTACAGGTGTTAGCAAGCTATTTGCCAGGTTAGGGAAATGGGAGGAACTGGAAGTGGACCTATAGTGTGCATAAATTCAAGCTGGATTTGGCCCAGATATGTGGAAGCATCTGATTACCTCTCAAACCAAAAGACACAGAATCAGATGGCAATATCTTCGTTATTGGCTTGCCAAAGATTGGTTAGTTCAGCACAAATTAATAGGACCCAAGGCTTTCTAGTGCAGTCCAACCAATGCTGAAATCCACTGAGCAGGCCAGTAAGACAGCATTAGCCATTATATGGACCCACTTCTGTGGGAATGACACTGCACTAAATGCCTAAAGTATGCTATACTTAAATTAAGAGAACAGGCAACATCAAAATTCAGTAAACTGAATTACTCTGCTACACCATAATTTATTAGGGAATCAGACCAGTCACAGTTTACCTGCTCATTTACACCCACAATCCTATGGTGTTAATGTCTTTTTTTCTCACTCTAGCAACATTAATAACTTTGTGCTGTCAACATGCACTGAGGGTTTTAAATTCCATTCAAAATCTAAAGTACTGAAATTTATATCCAAGGGAACACTCCCTGTGATCCAACAAAAGTAACCAGAACTTTGCCCAGATAAAGAACTAGTATCCCTGAAAAGCTGACCAAGTTTGAGATTTTCTATCAAAAGATGCCTCATAAATCGGTTAAATGTATTTTCTAATCTTTTTCTTTACTTCTCTATACTTTTGGAACAACTGAATAAGTGAGTCCATTAACATTAACATGAGATGAGAGACAGAGATAACATTTATATGATGGGTAAGGGTTAAACATTATACTAAATTAATCTAGCACAGACCACCTTTGGACTTTTAGTTTGTACTGTTCTGTAGCATACTAGAAGACACTTAATTTTTAAGGTAATTCAAGGAGCTGAAGTTCTCACTTCCATCAGTAGGGCAAATCTGGAGGCTACTACTTGCCAAATATAAATTGAGAAACCAAGCATTACCAACTTGTTTTACAACAACAGGCAGCATAGCTATTAAAAGAGGCAATGTTTAACCATTATTAAAGAGGTTTTAATAAAAACATACCCTAAGAGAACTGCAAAACTTTTGGTGCCTGTGGCTAATGTCACAGCTTTCAAAGATGCCACAGATATAATGGAGCTATGTCAGAGGTCACAGTTGCTACTTGGAGCAGAAGGGAAAACTAAATTAAATGTCATATAATTACCTTTTCTTAATATAAGAACTGACTACTTTTGGAGAAACAGATTTTTAACCAATTGAAATGATTTCTTGACAGGTAACTGAATGGTAAATACCTCAAATCAGACAGATTTCACTTGTCTGTCGTCCTGACTGTTTGCACAGTACTCCACACTTATGGGCTTGTATATAGTGTTCTGACCAAAGCAGTCATAAACCCTTTCCATGTACAATGTTCAAATGAAGAAAACTACACTAGAATACATACCTGCTGGTATGAGGATTCAATGATTTATTTAAAAACTTCCTATAAACTGAAGTAGTACAACATGCCATTACACGTTACTATTCCACAACAAGAAAATCCGGACACATTTGTTCCAAGATGAAGCTTTAGATTGCTCATTCTCCTTCAATTACCCATCAAAATCATCCTTCAAAATGAAACAAATATCAGATTAAATAAAAACCGAAAGACCTGCAGATGCTGTGAATCAGGAACAAAAACAAAGTTGCTGGAGAGGCTCAGCAGGTCTGGCAGCATCTGTGAAGGCAAAAACAGA